GATGGCCCAGTGTGCATGGCCCCCAGTGGAGCACAGCCAGTCCACCCCTGGGCACATGCTTGCCCTCAGGGAAGCTCTAGGCTTAGTATTCGGGCTGGGTCTAAAGATTCTGAGGGAGGAGTGCGGGTTCGGCCTGGCATCTGCAGGTGAGATGAAATTGCTTCTAGAATGATCTAGTTCAGCTTGAGTGCACTGGTCCTGCCCACTGATTGCCCACACTCTCCAGCCCTGCCTCTGGGGCTCCGAGGGGAGGCCTCCGGCCACCCGCCAAGATGAGCTGCAGGGTTAAGATTGGGTGACTCATCCACAGAGAGGAAGGCCGAGTCAGGGGATCTAAACAAGAGAGAGAAAGGCTTCTTTTTCCCCCAGTGATTATGAGGAGCTCCAAAAGGGACCCACGCATCATCAATTATTCATGGGGCCTGAAGGAAGCCATGCAAAGAGCCCAGCTGGGAAGCAGGGTAGGGTGATGGAGTAAGACGTGGGAAGCGCTTCACCCCGCCCCAGCCTGGGATAAGCTAAGCTGGAGCATTCTGGGATGACACGGGCTGGCTTTGTAGAGGATTTGCCCCGGGAGGGGCAAGCGGTAGCAGGCCGTGCTGGGGCAGTCCCGCCGCGCTGGGTCTCGGGGGTGGTTAGCCCCATTGTACAGTTGAGCAAACGAGGGGCAGAGAGATGAAGTGACTTGCCCAAGGTCACACTGCTGTGAAGTGACCAAACTGGAAATGAATGAAAGGGACTTGCTCCTATGAAAAGGGGATCAATGTTTTTGCAGCATCTGCTATGCTCCAGGCACTGTTCTGGAGGCTGGGGGTATAGCAGCAAACAAATCAAAGTCTCTACCCATGGGGCTTGTATTTTATTTGTGAGATGACATGCAATAAGCAAGCAATAAGGAAATGTATGAGATAATTTTAAGTAAGGATAAGTGCTATGAAGAAAACAAGTGGGTGAGCAAATAGAACGAGAGAGAGGATGGTGTGCAGGGACAGCCTGCCATTTCAGATGGAGTGACCAGGGAAGAACTTTCTAAGGAAGCGACATTGAAGCTGAAGCCTGAATAGAGCAAGGAAGTGAACCCTGCAAAGATCCAGAAAAGCATGCCAGATCAGAGAAACAGCAAGTGCAAAGGCCCTGAGGCTGGGAACTTGCTGTGTTCAAAACACTACAAGAATGCTGGTGCGGGGTAACGAGCGAAGGATGGTAGGAGAAGTGGTCAGAGGGGAATAGGGGCTAGAACAGGAAAGACCTCAGAGGCCATGGTAGGGGGAGATCCTTATGGAGGAACATGAGATGCTATGACCCCCGAGTGGGCAAATTCCTACTGTGCACATCTGGTTTCCTCTTCTTCTGGGTCAAGTCAATCCAGGTTTCCTGGCCTCCTTCCCCTTGGAAGCACTGCAGAGAGACAGGGAACACTCCGCCTGCAGAAGACGAGGATTCAGAGTGCACAAGTGTGTCGTCACACACCAGAAGAGCTGTTGCCACTGTCCTCGGCCTCACCCCTACCCTTCTTTTAGCGCGGCTGCCCGGTGCCAGGCCTGAAAGATGAGCACACTATCTTGCTGAACGCATGCTTCGAGGCAACCCTGGAAGGGAGTATCCCTATGTTACAGATGAGAAAACAGGCTCAGTGAGGATGGACTTACTCAAGGTCGTACTGATTTGAGTCCAGGCATCACTTGACCCAGGGCAGTTCTTTGAAGATCCTGCCTCCTCTGCAGCTGGGAGCCCCTCCAAACCGCAAGCCCCACTACCCCTCCCTGCAGAGGTGCACTTACTTACATCTCTAACTTCCCTCTCTCAGGCTTCCTCCAGGGACCCTGGACACTCCATTAGCCATTAGCATTATCAGCCTCTGATAGGGAACCACAAACCCCGCTGACCAGGGAATCACTGGTGAGAAATGCCATCCCTGCGCCTTCTTGACCCATTACTAGGTGAACAGCCATGAGAATGGAAAGCAGGGATTCTCTCAGAGTGGGAATGAGGCTGGAGCCTTGTAGAAGTAGGTGCAAAAGTCTTAAAATGTTCACTTATCCTTTGGGCCACCCAGAAATTCCAATTCTTGAAACGTATCCAGGGGAAATCACAGGGTATGTGCAAAGATAAATGTACACACAGTGGGGACACATGGTGCGGACAAACCAGCCATTTATGACCACTGCCCATTCCAGCTGGTTGGTGTCCAAGACCAGACCATCGCAGTTGTTAGATATTTTGAAAGTCACTCTTGCACCTAAAGATGTTGCATCCCTAATGTCAATAGGGAGAAACTGGAAACAACCTAAGTGTCCAACAACGGGGGGATTGGTTAAATAAATGAGTGGTACATTCATTCATAGACTACTGTGGAGCAATGAAAAGTTATGTTTCTAAAGAACATACAAGGTTACAGGAAAATAATTATAACCCATAGTTAACAGAAAAAGGGTTACACAACAGCATGTTCCTAGTCTAGAAGACACAATACAAATTTTTCTGATTTTGGCAACATGGCAAACTGAGGTGACACTTCTCCTTCCTCACCACGACCAAAGAAACATCTAGAAGTACTGGGTAAAATCAAAACAAAGGTATTGAAAACACTTAGCTGAACTTCAAATAAATAAAGAGAAATCCCCATTGGGACAGGAGACACAGCCTTGGCATGCATGTGGTAGACACGCAGAACTGAGATACTCAGCAAGGCATTTCCTTTGGAGTAGTCGCTCAGCTTGTTCACCAAATACTTCCAGAGCGTTGTCCAGACAGCGAAGGTTCAAAGAACGGCTACTCCAACAGCCTGTCTCCCTGAGTGAAGACACATGGCACGGATTTCTCCACGGATTCCTGATCGACGTGGAGTAGAAGAAATAAACCTTTGTTGTGTTAAGCTACTGCAAGTTTGGGCTTATTACCGTGATATAACCTTGCCTTTCCTGACTGCCATTGCCCCCCATGAAAGGTGAGGCTTAGGGAGACCTCCCCCAAAATATGGTCTCAAATTCAGGCTCTGGGTGGAAATGAAAAAAGTACCTCTTGAGATTTTGAAATCTCAAGACTCTACTAGGCGAGCGAGAGTAGATTGAATTTATACTGTTTAACTGGTACAGGAAACCCAGACCAAGAAAACATTGTAAAAATCGGTCACGACTAACAAACACTCAGGCACACCAGAAGAGCAAATATAAAGCTGGTTTTCAAAGACATTTCTCCAACCCAGGGCACATGAAACCCCCATAGGAATTACAGCCCTTGGAAAAGATGGGCTTACCATAAGGAAAACTACAAACTACCCAGGAAAATGATCAGCCATGGGGCAGAGTCAGCAAACAGAACAAGTTAGGAGGATGTGTCTCCCCAAGCCACAGTCAGAAGGAGACTGACATATATACTTTCTTTTACAAAAAGGATTGAAAAATGTAGGCTTCAATTAGTTTATGTAATGGAATTAAGAGCATGAAGTTAAAGACATGGTGAACTCCTTTGATCAACTTTTAGCCTGAAAACATTAATCCACCTACCCTATGATTCATACATTACCAGGAATCTATAACTTCCTGACATTTCTATTTAAGGCTTCAGATTTGTACTACTTGTAATATTCTTTTCATATCTCTGCAAAAATCTCTCTTGACTGTGAGAACAAACCAAATAAATAAATCTGAGGGTTCATATGTGTTTACAATTACCTAGCAAACATCTAGATATACAAACACATAACTATATATACGTATGTGGGTATATATGTAAATGTGTGTGTGTGTGTATACATTGACAAATAATACTTGTGCAATATTGTAACATTTTTAATAATCATAAGTGTGTAGCTAATACATACTTTAAAAATAATTTAAGATGGTGACCTTAAGAATAAAAGAGAAACCACGAAGGGAAAAAAACTAAGATACCCTGAAAGCACAGACATCAGCATAGAAAAGAGACTGGAGAGAAATATATTTTAATTTGAATATTATCTCTGGGTGGTGGGGAAACAGGTGATTTTAATTTTCTTCTTTGATTTTCTTTATTGCTCAAGTTTTCTGTTATGATTAAAATTGATTTTTTTTCAGTTTGCATTAAAAACTAACTTTGTTTAGCCATGCAGGTAATACATATGTACAATTAAAATAAAATAATACAATTAAAAAGAAGTTAAAATAAAATATAGATAAGAAAAAAAATTACTTCTATACTTAGGGCAAATACCTTTTCATTTTTCAGTGGGTATATTATAATTTTTGGAAGGGGATTAAGGGAGATTCTTCTTGGCTTAAGCCAGGCTCCGGCCTCCCCAACAGGGACCTCCATTTGTTTTGGGGGCTCTGGAGAATGGGCAGTTAGGGACCCAAAGCAGGAGACTTGCCTGTGGAACCCCACACTTCCTGCATGTTCCAATAGGAACAGAGGATTTGGGAATCAACAGTCACTTCATATTTTTTTTTCAAAGATTTTATTTATTTATTTGAGAGAGAGAGAGAATGAGGGAGAGCACATGAGAGGGGGGAGGGTCAGAGGGAGAAGCAGACTCCCTGCCGAGCAGGGAGCCCGATGCGGGACTCGATCCTGGGACTCCAGGATCACGACCTGAGCCGAAGGCAGTTGCTTAACCAACTGAGCCACCCAGGCGCCCAGTCACTTCATATTTTTTGAGGACTCCTTAGCTTACTTATTTAGAAAAAATCAAGCAATACCAGTTTATGGTAGAAAATGTGGAAATTGATAAAAACCATGAAGATGACACTAAGAATGGTGGAGGGCCCCACCATCCAGGGGCTCCAGTGTTGCTCAGTTTCTCAAATAGGTACCCGGTGGCCCGCTCTGTGCCAGGCACAAGGAGAATGTACAAGGAGTGTGAGACTAAGTTCCAGCCTCGAGGATCTTATCACCAGCTTGGGAGAAGCAGTCTGTTCTTCTGGTTGCAAGCAACAGAAGCAGACGGTCCGACTTCAGCACGAAGAAATGTACTGGAAGAATATGGTGTGGCTTCCAGACTTCACTGAGAAGCCAGAGGCTTCAGCAAGGGCGGGGCTCTGGGGATCCAGGCAGTGGGAATAAATGGGCACTCTTTCAGGAGCGAGTCAGCAACATGGTCATATGTACAGTGCCCCTCTGCTAGAGACTAGGGTGTGAGTGGCCTGGCTGGGTAAGGGGAGGGTGAGGCACCTTGACTGACAGCCCGCTTGGACTGTTTGTATGGGGGGGCTACCCCCACAGGAAACCAGGCTGCTGGTTCCAGGAGGAGGGGAGTAGAGGCGGGAAGATCACAGCACAGCTTCCCCCACCTAGGTCTGAATCCAGGCTGTGTCTCAGTAGCCACGTGGTCCAGGCAGGCTGCTCAGTCCCAGGGGCCCTTCTCTTATCTCTTAAAATGGGCGTGGTGACAGAGGGGTTGCAATGAGGAGGAAAATGAGTAAGTTAGTCAGTCTGTGCCATGAGTTGAGCCCAAGACGAATGGTGCATTGGAATCCTAGAGTCCATATGGAAGAAGAATGAGAGGAACCCCTAAACCTGGGCTGAGTTTCAAACTAGAAGTCCGAAGACCATAGTTGCCTCAAGATCTAGCCATTTCTCAGCGGTAAGAGCTCAAACAAGTCACGTTCCCTCCTTGGGCCTCAGTTTCTGTATTTAAAATGTGGTGATAATATGTGCTGCCTCCCTCACAAGGGGGCTGTGAGGATCCAAAGAGAAGAATGGCTTTGTGAATGGTGTCGGATGGGCTGTGAGTATCTCAGGGGAGAGGAAGGAGAAGGACATGCCTTGTAGGGGCACCAGCAGGAGAAAGAGATGGAGGGGAGAACGCACTGGCTCCTCCCCCCAGGTTGGTGGGTGCTAATATTCTAATAACAGTATCCATTTCTTGAGCTCCTGCCCTGTGCCAGGCTCTGTATGAGGTGCTGGGGCTGAAGGGACAACAGAAGGTACATAGCTCCTGGCCACGTGGAGCCTAGGGGTGGGACTGGAGCTCAAATAATCAGAGAGGTGCTTGGAGGGAGCACTTGTTTCTGCCAGAGCAGTAAGAGGGACTTGAGCTGCTGTGAAGTCAGGGAAGGCTTCCTGGAGGAGGTGACCCTGAATTGACAGCTGACCATAAAGGAGGTCACTGGGCCTGTAGGTGGAGGAAGAGCACTCGGAGCAGTGGGGACAGCACTGGAAAAGCCCTTTGGCAGGAGGGAGGAAGCCATGCTGGGCAAACTAGTGCAGACTGAGGAAGTGCATGCTAAGGTTGCCGAAGGAGCTCAGTTGCTCTGAGGAACCCCCTGGGAAGCAGGAACAGTGCTACCTGAGGACATTCTGTTGTTAGGGCCCAGAGACAAGCCAATGAAGTGGAAGCTCTCGCTTTCCCTGGGCTCTGGTTCTCTGGGACTTTGAGTGCCTTGTCCAACAGAATTCAGTCTAGAGTCCAGCCAAAAGAGGACTCAGATTCTAGGGAATGTGGCAGAGAAAGCACCCGAGAATGAAGAGAGTGCTGTTGGAAGGCTGAGGAAAACACATTCTTTTGGGCAATAGGGAGCCATAGGGGACTTAGAGCGCAGCAGGTTCTTGGTACTCTCAGTAGCAGTTTAGCTCCCGTGTCGGAAGGCCGAAGACAGTTGCTGGGGACAGTGTGCCATGGCCTCCACGTCACATGCCATGTTTAGTCATGGCCAGCAGCAAACCCCAGTGCTCTTTCAAGGCAGTAAGTGATGCTGCTGGGGGAGTGGGAGTTTAATTGGAGGTTGCTGCTATGGCCCCTTTGTTCTCTGGAGGAGGGAAGGCCAACTTCTTCCTGTGAGATGTCTGTTTCTGGGAGAGTGAGGCCAGAGAGAGGAGCTCAGGTTTCTGAGCACCTCCTGTGCACCCACCCAGGACATGCCTTGTGTGCTTGGAGGGCGGTGACAAGATGCCCTGAAGGTGCCTGACCCAGCCTTGGAGAAGCCAGCCCAGCGTTAAGAAGGCGTGGGAGGTGCACCCGAGGCAGCAGGTCGGTAGGAGCGCGTCTGTAACACGGTGACACCTATCTGCAGGTGCAGAGCTTGCTTCGGCTTCGCTGTGTAAATACCTTCTATTTATGGCAAATGTGCCCCGTTTTCTTTTTAAGGTGATGATAAGAAATTTCCGATAAATGTATTTGAATGATGTATTACGATCCCTTTAAACAAAAAAGGATTAGTGAATAATGCGGGGACATGTGGGTGAATCACAACCTGGCTGGCAACACGGAATGGTGGGGGGGTGGGCTATTGCCTCCCCTGAGCCTCACCATAGCCCTGTGGTGGGGCCTGCCATCCCCATTACAGCTGGGAAGGCTGAGTCCTGAGAAATTCACTCTCCCCTGCCCTGCGGTTAGCGAGGGCCAAGCCCGTTCTGGAACCTGGGTGTCCCCTGACACTGGCCTCACCCCACCCAAGCCCCCCAGGGCTGGCTAGGGGAAGCCTTCCCCACTTCTCTGGGCTGCTCTTTGGCAGTTCAGAGCTCTCCTGACCACAGGGGTTCTCATCCAGGCCCTGCCTGGTTCCACCACTTATTAGCCAGCGGCCTTGAGCAAATGTCTGGCTTCCTCTATGCCTGGTTGCTCGTCTGTAATATGGGGACAATGTTTGTACCTCAGAGGATTGTTCAAGAGCTTTAATGAGATGATGTCTTTTATTATTCCCAACTTAAAAGTGAGACAGTGGAATCCCAGAGCCAGGAAGCCACTTGTCCAAGTTCACACAGGTGGGAAGAGGGGGAGCTAGACATGAATTTAGGTCAATCGGGTTCCCAAACTGCTGGTTTTAATGACTTCGTGGTGTTGCGTCCCTTCTGTGGAAAGCCGCGGTGTCCCCATGTTGGAAGAAGCTGACAGGGGCTATAGGGGATAAAAGATACCTGAATGGCAGGTCCATGGGGAGGGGGCTCGGTTCTCCTTAGGGAGGAGCTGCAGGACTCTGCCAAGATCCCCAGAAGCATGCAGAGTCAGGAGTTGGGGAGGCCACTTTCCTGTGGGAAAATGTAGGGCGTTTCCACTTATAGCCTGATAATTGGGCCCAGCGAGGTCCAGAGCACAGATGATGTCATTCATCCTCTGTGGCCTTTGGGGCTTAGGAAGCCTCTAGGGAAAGCGGGTGGGGGAGGAAGGGCTAGAGGGCAGAGAATCTGGAAAGAATGGCTGATAAAAACAGGAATCAGGGTTTTGGGTGCGGGGATCGTGGCCAAGGGAGCTTTACAGCCATTGCAGCGGGGGTGGGGGCCACACGTAGGAGTCAGAGGCAGAGGCTGAGGGTGACAGAATGCATGAGTGGTGCCTGAGTGGACTTAAAGGGACGCTCCACGCAGAACGCTTAGCTTGGCATGTGCCCCATGAGCACTGCCCCCGAGGGTGGGTGTAAGGGCCTGTCTTCGGCACTCATGCCCCTGACTTCCACTTGGCTGTCCCGATCGTCTCAGATGCAACAAGCCTGACCTGTCCCTCCCCCTAGCCATCACAGCAGCCCTTCCTGGCCTCCCTGAGGCTATGTCACCCCCTTCTAGGCCCCGGAGCCAGCTGTCCGGACTCGCATCTGAGCCGGCTGCTTCCGCTGTGTGACTGATAATGACCTCACCCGGCAACAGTGCCTACCTCCCCAGAGAGCTGCGAGAGAACACAGCAGTGACTCAGGCACAGCGAGTGCTCATCCAAGTCGGCCTGATCGTCCTGATCCTGCGACGACGCCGCCCCTCGTGATGGGTCTGCCTCCCTCTCCGGCCCCAGCGCTGGGGGCCGCACCCCACACCGGTTCCTGCCTCTCTCACACCTCTGTGCCTCTGTGCTGGCTGCTCCTCTGTCTGGAATGTTCCTTCGCCCTTTTGCCGGCTCTTCTTTTCTCACTTGGCTAATTTCACTTTAAACTTTAAGACTAATTACTTTGGTCACCTTCTCCAAGAAGCCTTCCCTTGCTCGCCCCTGGGCTTCCACAGCCTTCTGCGTCCCGCCGGGCAGAGGCATTTTTGCAGTCTTGTCATTGTCTGCATTTCCGTCTCCACAGCCCCTGGTCTGTGGGCTCCTTGAGAGCGCACCTCATCTTACGTCCCCAGGGTACTAACTGCTCTCATCCTCTTCTAACACGGAGACACCTGCCAGGGCCCAGCTAACGTTACAGGCAGCTAGCCCGTATTTTCAAGTTTCTTCACAGCTTTTTCTTCTGTGGGCTCTGACTATTGGGACGATTACTTTCATGTGCCCACTTGGCTAGGCTGGGGTCCCCAGTTGTTAGGCAAACATGAACTAGACAGTGCTGTGATGATATTCTGTAGATGTGGTTAGGACCTATAATCAGCTGACTTTAAGTAAAAGAGATTACCTTCCCTAGTGTGGGTGGACCTCATCCAATCAATTGAAGGCCCTAAGAGCAGAAACTGAGGTTTCCCAAAAAAGTAGGAATTTTGCCTTGACAGTCGTATAGGAATCCTGCCTGAGTTTCCAGCCTGTTGTTGGCCTGCCTTCTGGATTCTGGTATATATAGATCTCTCTCTCTCTCTGATAGATATACATAGGAGACAGATATATATCTGTTCTATTCTTCTGAGAATCTTGACTAATACAACTATTATCCCCATTTTACAGATAAGGAAGCTGAGGCTCAGAGAGGTGAAATTTTATGGTTAAGGTCATAGAACTGCTCAATGGCAGGGCCAGAACGGGGACGCAAGCAGCCTCTCCAGGACAATATCCCTGACCACTGAGGTGATGCTGGGATCCAGGGTCTTATCCTTCCTCAGACATTTCTGAGTGCCTGGAGCCAGGTTCCTGAGCCAGGGCAATTGTCCAGTGAATGAGGCCCTTCCTGTAGAGCCAGGAGAGTTTACAACTCATCTCTACTTTGTGTTTTCCAGGGAGATGTAGTGAAGCTTCTCTAGGTAAGAGAAAAAAAAAAAAAAAAGAGAATAGGGGAGGACCTAGAAACAAGCCCTTCCTTCTACTTCCTGGCTATGTGACCTTGGGCAAGTACGTTCCCCACTCTGGGCTTCAGTTTCCACAACCTAAAATTCCCTTGACAGGGGACTGGTTAGATACATTATGATACCCCCATCCAATAGAATAAAGTCAGGAGGTGTATTATAAAGAAAAATCTTCAAGATAAACTATAGGGTGAAAAGAACAAAGTGTAGGACAGTATGATGTGCGTGTTTTTTGTATAAGAAAAGGGGGGAGCTTAAGAATATGTTCTTATATTGACATAAAAAAACTCTGGAGAGATACACCAGAAACTATTAAAAAGGATTCTTTGAGGGAGGGGTGGATAGGGATAGAGATGGAATGAGACTTCCGATTTATTTAAAAAATAAATAATAATGATTTTAAAATAGTGATAATGAGAGTATTTCCTTTAAAGTGTAGTTAGGATTAAGTTAGAAAATATATGTAAAACGCAAAGCATACAGTAGGTGCTCAAAAGTGGTAGCTTGTTGTCTTTTTACCATGAATCTTCAGGGCATTCCTCAAGAAAGGGAGAGATGATCATGATAATAGCACCACTTGCTACTGGAGCTCTCTCTGTGTACTTCTTGCCGAATGGAGTGCTTTGGCTGCAAAGGAAATATGCCCCACCAGCTTTGCTTTCCAGGATTTAGTCATCTACCCGAGAAACATGGGCTAACGTCCTTGGACTATGTAGTACTCGGCATTCATTCACTAAAGCATCAAAGGGAAACTCATTCTTGGCGGGTGGGAATGCAAAACGGTACAGACACTTTGCAAGACAATTTGGCGGTTTCCTACAAAACTAAATGTACTCTTACCATACCATCCAGCCATTGTACTCCTTGGAATTGACCCAAAGACTTGAAAACCTGTCTCCACAGAAATCTGAACATGGATGTTTATAGCAGTGTTATTCATAATTGCCAAAACCTGGAAGCAACCAAGATGTTCTTCATCAGTAGGTGAGTGGATAACGAAACTGTGGTACATCCAGACAATAAAATATTATTCAACCCTAAAAAGAATTGAGTTATCAATCCAGGAAAAGACATAGAAGAAACTTAAATGTATATTACTAAGTGAAGGCAACCCGTCTGAGAAGCCTACATACTGTAAGACTCCAACTCTATGACGTTCTAGAGAAGGCAGAACTACAGAGACAGTAAAAGATCAGCGGTGTCAGGAATGGGGCCAGGTGGGGGGAGGGGAGAGGTGAACAGGCAGCGCACAAAGGATTTTGAGGGCAGTGAAAACACTCTGTAGTATGTTACAATGATGGATATATGTCATTATATGTTTGTTCAAACCCACAGAATGTACAGCACCAAGAAAGAACCCTGAGGTAAATGGTGGACTTTGGATGATGATGATGTAGGCTCATTCTTGGTAAAAACGTACCCTTCCGGTGAGTGATGTTCATAACGGGGGAGGCTGTGCATGTGCGGGAAATCTCTGTATTTCCCTTTCAATTTTATTATAAACCTAAAACCGCTCTAAAAAAAAGTCTTAAAAAAAAGATTCAAAGGAAAAGAAGGTTCACTGGTAAGCAAGAGGAGAGGGCTTTACGGGATGGGAGCTAACATTCATTGAGCCGTACCAGGCATTCTTAGATACGTCTGTCTTGTAATCCTCCTATCAACGGTTGGAGGAATGGTGATTTTATAGGAGAATAAACTAAGCCTCAGAGAATTGAGCTAATCCGTCCAAGAACACACAGCTAGAAGTCAGCAGACAGGCTCTGACCACATGTGTCCCAAATTGCAAGTATCCTTGTCTTCCCCTACACTATGATGCCTGGCCAGGGCCTAGAAGGTTCTGTTGGGTTGACTAAGTGAAGCAGGGGGTAGATGGTGGGATGGGGGTGGATTCAGGGAGAATAGCAGTAGCAGCATGAGAGTGACCCATAGGCCCATTTCAAAAACCCTTTATTTTTATTTTTTTAAAAGATTTTATTTATTTATTTGACACAGAGAGAGAGATAATGAGAGCAGGAACACAAGCAGGGTGAGTGGGAAAGGGAGAAGTAGGCTTTCCGCTGAGCAGGGAGCCCAATGTGGGGCTCGATCCCAGGACCCTGCAACCATGACCTGAGCCGAAGGCAGAGGCCCAATGACCGAGCCACCCAGGCGCCCCATCAAAAACCCTTTAAACTTGACAACAATCCTAGTAGATAGGCAGAGGTCATAGTGTTATCTTCCCCCTTTCCCTCTTTTATTCATTCACTTCTCCATTTAGCCAACCATTAACATTTTAGTGAGAACTAGTCCTTGCCAGTCCCTATATTAGGAACTATGGACATCAAAATGAATGAGTCATGGTGTTAGCACCAAAGGGATTACAGTCCAGCAAGAGAAAAAGGCCCATAAACTAATGTAGATAATTGAACGCTGAGCTTCGGATGAACATAAAATAGTCAGGGGCAGAGGTCTTGGAAAATGTGTAGGAGTTTGCCATGTGTGAGGTGGGGCTCGAAGGGACAGCACATGGTAAGGACCAAGGGAGCAGAAAGCACAGTGAATTTGGAGAATAACTCAGGGCTCAGAGTGATTGAAGGGTGTGTGTGTGTGTGTGTGTGTGTGTGTGTGCAGGGAGAGAAGAGGATGAGGATAGAGAAATGGTTTGGGAAGAGGTCAGACCCTGATATATTGTAACAGAGAATGGACTTCATCCTATAGGTCACAGCGAGGTAAGCAGGGCAACCGAGTAGCCAGGCAGATTGGGACTTTGGAGCAACCGCTTTGGGGGCCTGAAGGAGGGGCAGAGACTGGAGACAGGGGCCCCGGGTCCATCCTGGACCGTCTCCCAGTGCCTTGGGCTCCTCTAGGGTCTCTCCTTTGCCACTGCCCCCTGTTTTATTGACATTTTTATTGAAATAATAATAGATACACATGCAATTACAGGAAATTATTCAAAAATCCCTTGCAGATTTGCCCATTTTCTCCTAGTGGTAACATTTTGCAAAGTGATTCCTTTGCCACATTTCATATAAGAAGGTGGGTATTGTGATGGAGGTACCAGTGTGTTGAAGGACAGATGCCCAGAGACTCTGGAGACTATGGGCCTTCTTTCCCACCACCTTCCCTCCCTCCATGAGCCAAGACCATTTTATAGATATGTCATGGGACAAGCTTGGGAAGCCTTACAGCAAAACTCAACAGCTCATCCTTACAAGCCTCTTACAGGTCCTTTTTTATCTCCTTGCAGACCAGGCTACCCCCTTGGGCAACACCTTTGACATGGCCCCACCCAACACACAGTGGGTGGAGTGGAGATGATCAGCTCACCAACCAGGGCTGGAGTTCCCCTTATGGTGCGGTGCTGGGAAGTACCTGCCCAGCCCGGAACTATGTCTCCCAGCAGCCCAGTGACCAATGCAATGTGAGCAGAAGGGAGCAGAGCCCTTCACCATGAGGTGCTAAGTAGTGGCTCTGCCATCTTTTGTTTCTTCTCTCACTCTGTTGTCCGGATGACTCCAGAATGATCTTCAGACCACAAGATGGCAGAGGAGCCACGAGATGGAACAGCTGTGTCCTGGAGCAGCCATTGGAGGGAAGAGGAGAGCCAGGGGCTGGGAGCATGAGCATTAGACTTTGTAGTAGTGAGAAGTAAACATGCATAATTATTTCAAATAAACAAAAGAAGTAGAGAGCATAGTATAATAACCCACTTTAGCCATCCATCATTCAGCTTTAAACATTATCAACATTTTTCTACTCTTCTTTCATTCACCTGCCCTGCCCTACTTTTTTTTAAAAAAAGATTTTATTTATTTATTTATTTATTTATTTATTTATTTATTTATTTGAGATAGAGAGAGAGAGAGAGAGAGCTCACGAGCAGTGGGAAAGAGCAGAGGGAGAGGGACAAGCAGACTCCGCACAGAGCACAGAGCCCCACACGGGCATCAGTCCCATGACCCTGAGATCATGACCTGAGCCAAAATTCAGAGTCAGTCGCTCAACTGACTGAGCCACCCAGGCACCCCTGCTCCACCCTACTTTTAAATTGTTTGCTGGGGTTTTCAAAAGTAATTCCCAGGAAAAATACAGAAAGACAAAAACAAAACAAAAATCTAAACACACTTTATCGTGCTAAGCCACGAAGATGAGGGGCCATTTGTCATAGTAGTTAGCCATCCTTGACTAATGCAGTGGACACTTGGTACCTAGCTATTGAACTGAACCAAGTGACCTGTTTTTCTAGGCAGTGCAGCACGAGGAGGAATGTGTCTAGGCCTAAAGCAGCAAGAATGCCAAGCCTTCTAGCTCTCTGAGAAGTAGTTCTGTTCTTCTGGCCCGGCTGCACCTAGCTGCTCCCAGCCGCACCCACCCACCCTACTGGCCCCTACCTCCTACTTCTTCCTTTTTCCAGGCCCTGGGCTGCTGAGGGGAGAAGCAGACCTAAGGTGGAACCAGGAATAGAGGGTTTTCAGGGCCAGGTCTCGGCTTGGGCAGGGCTGGGCGTGGTGGGGTGAGGCTGGAGCTGACAGAGCAGGCACAAGGGTTGGATATGGGAGACCCACAGCCTAGCAGCAGGGTCTGGGGCCAGGGGAGCAAAACCTTTTGTGCCTTTCAGCTTGGCCTGTGTTCGCACAGATGCAGGATGAAGCTTTGTGGTGGGCTTGAGTCCATTCAAAAAGTCATTGTTATTGAGTACAGGTTGGGCAGCCCTGTGCCTGGCACTGGGATGCGTGATGGGCCGGATCCTGGCTTAGCTACTCCCCAGCTGCGTGACCTTGGGCAGGTTCCTTTACCCCTCTGAGCCTCAGACTCCCCGTATTGAAAACGAGTATGGGAAGAGTCTTAGCAGGGAAATTGGCCATGATGTATGGAGAAAGCCTGGCACCCAGTAGGCTCTTGATGACTCATAGATATTGCTATTGGTTTCTGTTAACAGCAGCTAGGAGTTTGGAGAGGGTTCGCGGGCACCCATCCAGGGAGCGGGTCAGGGCCGGAGGATGCTGAGCCCCACCCTGTTGGGAGCTGTTTTCAGAGAAGGAGAAACAGGGAATGCAGAGAGCCAAAGAGTTTTTTCTGGGAGCGGCCAGGTCTTAATTTTGCATGTCAGAGGAGGTGGGTGGGTGGAATCCTGCAATTCAGGGGCTCTTTCCTGGAAGGGGCTGGATAGGCAACAAAATGCTTCCTCCCTCAGAGACAGCCTCACAGCTGTCAGGAAGAAACAGCTGCATGGCTTCGCTTCAAAGAGGTGAGACCTCAGTCTGTGGGGGAGCAGGACAAGATGTGACAGCAAACAGGAACTCCCAGGCAGATTTTCTCAGGGGGGATGGACCAGGTTCAAAAGCCAGTCCTGCTTCCTGGCTATGTGACCTTGGGCAAGTCACTTCACCTCTCTCGAGCCTTAGTTGTGTCATGCTTTAAATGATGCTCATCTCACAAGGCTATTATGGGAAGAAAAGATAATGCATCTAAAATGCCTTGTGGTGTCCTGGTACACCGGAAGCACTCAGTAAAAGGTCATAGTAAATCAATCACTCACCCCTCGGGCTAAAATGAAACTCCTTTTCTTCTCCCAAGTAACTTCTAAATAGCGGAGGCACCCATCGCCTCTTCTCTTTCCGTACATTGACTCCCTGCAAGGGCTTGTTCACTTCTGCGGCCTTAAACCCCATCTCCATGACATCAGCTCTGTAGATGGCATTTGAGGCTACAGTGCCCTTGCTATTGTTGGTCACGGGTTCTTGATGTTCTTCCTAAGCTGCACCCCACCCCCAGCCCTTCCCATCGATTCAGCAGACAGGCCTTTTTTTTTTTTTTTAAGATTTTATTTATTTATCTGAGAGAGAGTGAAAGCATGAGGTGGGGCAGAGGGAGAGAGAGAAGAGGGAGAAGCAGACTCCCTGCCGAGCAGGGAGCTCGATGCGGGGCTCCATCCCAGGACCCTGGGATCACGACCTGAGCCGAAGGCAGACGCTTAACGGCTGAACCACCCAGGCGCCCCTCATAGCGAGAGCTTTTAAGAAGTCAAGGCCATCTCTCCACAACTGGCTCTGGACCCCGCGATGGCTGTCCATCCCCCACAGAGAAAGTGCAGACGCTCCCACGGCTCTTCCTCTGCCTGTTCTCCTCCAGCACGCTGACCTCCGTCCTCAGACACATCTCCTCCTTCTAGCTGCACCACCCCCACCCCCGCCCCACCGCGGTGTTCTCTGCCCCTCATCATGCTAGATTCTTCTTCATGAGACCACCTGCCATGAGGTTAGACAGAGGCTACTGCCACTGAATGGAGGTCCTGGGAGGGCTTTCGTGTCTCCTGCCATGGTATACCCAGCATCATAACAGTGCTCTGGTCCTGGCCCTCCCCTCTGACGGCTTTTGGCTGGCTTAGAGGCTCCCTGTCTCCTTGCTTCTTGCTGACCCTTGGCCCATGTGACTGCCCCCTTTCTCCAATAAAGCATCATCCTTAACCCATTACATGTGACGCTGTAGGATTCGTCCCAAGCCCTGGTGCATGACAGGGGGAGACCCAGGAGGCATCTCTTTGCATAACACAGACAGACACGGGGTCCAATCCCCCTGTGCTACTTCCTAGCTGTGTCACTTGGGCAAGTTGCTGAACATCTCTGAGCCTCTATTTTTTCATCTGGAAAGAAGAGTAAGAAGTGAGAATACCTGGCTGGTGAGATGTTAGATGAAGAGTTGAGACATGAATGCAGAAGAACCTGGCACATGTTCTCTCCCTACTTCTCTCGGTGGTGAAGTAATAAGACTGGCTTTATCTTCTGGAGAAATTGGGAGGGGATTGCAGTGGGTTAAATGGTAGCCGCCAAAAGATATGCCCATGTTCTATCCCCCAGAACCTGTGAATGTGACCTTATTTGGAAAAAACATTTTTTTTGCCAATATAACTAAGTATCTTAAGAGGAGATCCTCCTGGCTTACTGGGTGGGCCCCAAACCTAATGACAAGTGTTATATTTATAAGAGATACACAGGGGAGGAGACCGACCGATGAAGGCAGAAATCGGAGTGATGTGGCCATAAGCCGCAGAACGCTAAGGATTGCTGGCAGCACTGGAGGCTAAGAGAGAGGCATGGAGCGGACCTCCCCAGAGCTTCCGGAGGAAGCCCAGCCCTGCCAACCCTCGATTTTGGATTGTGGCCTCTAGTAGTGTGAGAGAATAAACCTCTGTTGTTTTAAGCCACCAAGTTTGCCACACTTTGTTACAACAGTTCCAGAAAACTAATACAGGAACGAACTTTGGCAAAACAACAGATGGAAGGTCCTGGCCCAGTTGGAGCCCTTTCTGGATGGGACTTTCCACACCCAGGGGTTCATTCCCTCTTCACCTAAGGTAGGAAAAAAGGGAAGCAAGATTCTCCTGATAGGGCAGAAGCAGCCTGGAAGGGCTCAGAGGGGAAGGGGCCCTGCCTGAAAGCTCTTGAGCCAGACGTCTCCTCATGTCCCATGTCCCTGCCCTTCGTAGAGTGGATGGACCTCCCCGGCTCTCCCTTTGGACAGGCAGACACGAGAGAGTGGCCGCGTCAGTGGGGAATCGGAGGCTACTTGGATTTGGGCAAGTGGAGTGGGGGTGCCGGCTGTTTGCAGGGGTTGTTGGGGATGCTGACTGTCTCTGGGGCCTTTGGGGGCCAATAGGATATCACAGCTCCCCTTGGTGGTGGTGGGGAGGAGGAAGGAGCTGTTGGCCTATGGGAGCAGATTGCCCCCTGATAGCTCATTGCTTGGACAACACAGAACAACATTCCAGGGCCCTTTTCAGACAGCTCTCCTCACTGCACCAGTCTGTCTCTAAATCCACACCATTTCTACCATATCACAAGCTTCCCTGGAGAACTTGGCATCCTTAGTTTGAATCTACCATTTGGTGGTTCAGCTCGTCCCTTGGCTCAGTACTTTCCATGACAGCTCCAGGAAGCAGGTGCAGGCAACACAGAGCCCATGACCATGGGTCCCCAGTGTGGCTGGATGCCAGGTGTAGGCTTATTCTCACAGAGACGTCCCTAGAGCCTCTGTAGCCCCCAAAGGAAGGTTAAAGCTCTGTGTGCACAAGTAGATCCTAGCAAAGGTAGAGCTTGTGATAACACTTCCTTGCAAGGTTTCTGGCCTGAGCTTTCTTATGGGAAAAGGCACCTCCCGGTTGCTATGAGTCACCTGGACCAGAGGGCAGGCTGAGGTGCTCACGCAAGCCGCAAGCTCTCCCCACTGCACCCCCATCTCTATTAGGGCCAACTCAAGGGCTGCTCATGAATTCTGTGTGGCTCCCACACCCAGCAGCAAGAGCATATCTGCTCTGGGAATAGCAGACCCCAGAGAGTGCAGACCCCGGGGAGGCACGTGGGGGAGGCAGTCCAAGCAGTTGGTCTCACACCCTGTCACAGCGCAGATAGAGGGTTCCTTTTTGCGGCCTGGAAATGTGACCTACTTCCTTGTAACAAGAATGCTACTTCAGCACTTGGATGGAAAACACGGATGAAAGATGCATTCCTCCCCAGACAGAGAAAGAAAGAGAGAGGTCTGCACCCTGACGTGCTCCGTACGTTGTTCCGCCTGCCTTAAACACCCGCACTCAGCTTTTCCATCTGGAAAGGCCTTTGTAAGCCTGTGCTTTGTAAGTCAGAGTTGGAACTCCCTCCAGGGCAGTCTTCCATCACCTCTCTATGGTGAGCTGCTGGTGCTGGGGGGTAAAGTCATAGCCTTTGAGGTGGATCCTGGGCTTTTTAGGCTGTCTGAGAAAGGGGCCACATCTGCTCTGTAGATGGCTGCATTCCCAGGTCTTGGGACAGGTGCTGGCACACGGGAGGTGCTCCGTACTGTTTGCTTATCATCTGTGGGATATGGACGCATGGAATCAACTCCCCAAGTCTCAGTGTCTTCGCCTGACAACAAGGTTAGTGTACAACTGCCTTTACTGTGTCCTTCATATCAACAAATTCAGGAGGTAGATACTATTATTAACCTCCTCACACAAAGATGTAGATTGACTTGCCCAAGCTCTCACAACTGGCAAGTGGCCAGTTCATGATACCGTATAGACCTCTTTTGAGGACCAAATTATATATATGTATATATAATGTAAATAATCTCATGTACCCAATGGAACTGGTATGAAGCTTTCATGAGACACCATATAGGGAGTCAGTTTATTAGGATCAAATCTTCCACAGAGGACAATTGAAAAAAGTATATGGCATATAAAAATATCTTAAAAGCACCAAAGAGCCAATAAGAGAGTGAAGCATTAGCTGACCACAATATACTAAAAAATGAGAACCCAGAGAAGTAAGTCTGGTACACAAGCTTCATTTTCCCTAATGGCATTTACTAATCCAGAAGAAACAGTTGTGGTTTTTGGAGGCTTTAGGACAAAATTTAAGGCCCAGAGTCTATCAAAAGGGGGACTTGGATAAATGCTCCTTCCTGCTCATTTTAAGCTAGGATCCCAAATGTTTACACTGAAAATTATGAGGAGTCATAAGCAAACCAACTTTCTCATGGACTTTCCAGTTCCAGTCATCTTGGTGATCCAGGTAAGCTCAAGCCTTGAACTTGGATTAAGGTGGTTCCAGACTGGTAGAGTTCCGAGACGCCTGGCAGAAACAAACAAATCCTCTCTGGAGAAAATGCCATCATCTTTGGTGACAAATCATTCTTACAAATAAATTTTCAAATAAAACATCCAGAACCAGTGAAAAAAAAAATCAGGGACTCAAGGAAATAATAAACTTGAGTGAGAACTGACAGAAACTACAAACAACAGAAATACACAGAAACTTCAGTTATTAGAATTATCAGACATACAATATAAGACAACAGTATAAGATTACTGTTTAAAGAAATACAAAGGGACAAGAAACTATAAAAAACATGGCAGATTTTAAAAAGGTCAAAATAAACTTTGAGCACTGAAAAGAAATTAACAACTCAAAGTCAGTTTATTAGCAGATTAGATACAGCTAAAGTGAAAACTAATGGACTGGATCCAGAATGCAGCAGAGATATAAATAAAATAAAAACAAATACAAATAATACAAATAACAAATACAAAAAATAATACAAATAATAAAAACAAAAATACAAACAGATACAAATAAAAACAAAAAGACTAAAAATATTGAAGAAAGGAGGAAAGAATACAGTGAGAACATCTAACATATATGTAATTGGGGTGGAGTTCTAGAAGGAAAGAGGGTTATAAAGAAATAATGGCTGAGAATTTTCCAGGTCTGTGGAAGGACACCAATTCCAATATTCATGAATCAAGAAGTCCAACTAGGATACCAAAAACAAACAAACAAACAAACAAACAAACAAACAAAACTAGATACATCATAGTGAATGTGAAGAAAAGCACGAAGTAAGAGGAAAGGGATAGTATCTTCAAAGGAGAGACAGAAAGGCAGCTGACTTCTCAATGGCGATGGTGGAAGCCAGAAGACAGTGAAATGATATCTTTAATGCACAGAAAGAAAATAACTCCAACATAGTATTCTAGACCTAGAGATATATCCTTTAAGAATGGATGTCAAGGGACGCCTGGGTGGCTCAGGTGTTAAGCATTGGCCTTCGGCTCAGGTCATGCTTGCAGGGTCCTGGAATCGAGCCCCGCATCAGGCTCCTTGTTCGGCGGGAAGCCTGCTTCTCCCTTTCCCACTCCCCCTACTTGTGTTCCCTCTCTCGCTGTGTCTCTCTCTCTGTCAAATAAATAAAATCTTAAAAAAAAAAAAAAAGAACGGATGTCAAATACATACAATTGTTGACGAACAAAAGATCACCAGTAGGCTTTCACTAAGGTATTATTCAGAAGCAAGTTACCTCAGATAGAAGGTCAGAAATAAAAGAAGACAAGCAACAAAAGAAAAAATAGGTGAATTGGACTTCAGAAAAACTAAAAACTAAAAACTGTTGTGTTTCAAAAACCACCAGCAAGACTGGGGCACCTGGGTGGCGCAGTCAGTTAAGCATCCAACTCATGGTTTCGGCTCAGGTTGTGATCTCAGGGTTGTAAGATCCAGCCCTGCATCAGGCTCTGCACTCAGTGCTGAGTGTGCTTAAGAGTTTTTCTCTCCCTCCCTCTGCCCCTCTCCCCTGTGTGTGCACGCTCTCTCTAAAATAAATAAATAAATCTTTTAAAAAAATTAAAAAAAAAAAACACCAAAAAACACCATCAAGAAAGGAAAGAGACAACCCATAGAATGGGAGAAAATATTTCCAAATCATATATCTTATAAGGAATTTTCATCTAGAATATATTTTTTTAAACTCATATAGCTCAGTAATAAAAAGACGAATGACCTAATTTAAAAATGGGCAAAGAATCTGAATAGGCTTTTCTACAAGCAAGATATACAAATGGCCAATAAGCACACGAAAAGATGCTCGACATCATTAGTCATCAGGGAAATAAAAATCAAAACCACTTAGATGACACTTCACAACTACTAGAATGGCTAGAATCAAGTCAGATAATAACAAATATTGGTGAGGATGTGGAGAAATTGGAACCCTCATACACTGCTGGTGGAAATGTAAAATGATGCAGCCATTTTGGAAAACATTCTGGCCGTTCCTCAAATGATTAAACACAGAGCTACCTATCATATGACCCAATGATTTTACTCAAAGGTATATACCCAAGAAATGAAAACATATGTACACACAAAAATTTGTATATGAATGTTTAAAATAGTATCATTTATAATAACAAAAAGGTGGAAGCAACCCAAATGTCCAGCAACAGATGAATGGATAAACAAAATTGTGGTATATCCATATAATGGACAATTTATTTGGCATAAAAAGGAATGAAGGGAACTTCAGTTTTCTGCTCCGTTATGTAAGAGCTTAGAAGTTGTCACTTCATCTTAACAAATTAAAAGCTGAACAAACTGAGAAATCAACTCTTTTAGTTCTGTCAGAGAACTGAGGTCCCAGGGCAAACAACTGCTTCCCCACTCTGCCTCGGCAGGAGCCATTGCCATGGTAGGAAAACCTGAACTGTAACCGCTGAATCACTGGAGACTGAATGGACATATCTGAGAGTTAAAAACCCCAGAGGGACTCAGTCATGGGGAACTCCTCCTTACACTATCAGGTCCTCATGATAAATATTGAAGAAAAACCCTTTATGCTTCCAGTCAGGGAGGAAAAATGCCAGATCATTCTGTTCTTAACAAGGCTTGCCTTCAGAAGAAACTGTTTTACCAGACCCTAATCAGCTAGGGTTTTATCAGAGCCTAACTCACTTGGGTCAAGGTAAATACCCAACTCCAGCCAGCCCTAGCTTTCCACGTGAGGGGAGAGAAATACCCAACTCCAGCCCCCTGTACCATCCTGTCTCCCAAGAAGACATAAAAATACTTAATGCATGTGGATCTAACAAGAGAGGGTCAAATTACATGAGGCAAAAACAGGTAGAATTTCAAGAAGAAATAGCTGAATCCACTATTATAGTTGGAGAATTTAACATACTTCTGTCAGAAATGGACAGATCTGGCAGGCAGAAGTTCAATAGGGACATAGTTGAAGGAAACAACACCATCAACTGGATATAACTGACATCTATAGACTACTACTTCATCCAACAACAGCAGATTACACACTATCCTCTAGCTCACATTCCCCAAGATGGACCATACTCTAGGCTATAAACACACCTTAACAGATTTAAAAGCATTTATACCATACAACATCTGCTGTCATACCACAATGGAATTAAACTAGAAATCAATATCAGAAAAATACCTGGAAAATCCCCAAGTGCTTGGAGATTAAGCAGCACATTTATAAATAACACATGGGTCAAAGAAGAAATCTCAAGAAAAATTTAAAAAATATTTTAAACTAAAAGAAGATGAAAATACAACTTAAAATTTGTGGGATACAGTGAAAGCAATGTTTAGAGGAAAATCTATAGCATTGAATGCATATATTAGAAAAGAAGAAAGTTATAAAATTAATAATTAAAGCTTCCGCCTTAGGAAACCAGGGGAAAAAAGAGCAAATTAAATTTGAAGTAAGAAGAAGAAAACAAATAAAAATAAAAAGTAGAGCAGAAATCAATGAAATTGAAAATAGGAAAGCAATGGAGATAACCAACCAATCTAAAAGCTGGGATTTTGAGGGGAAAAAAATCAATAGAAACAAGCCTTTAGTCAGGCTAACTAAGAAAAAAGGGAGAAGACAAGATTATGGATATTAGAAATGAAAAAAAGGAGAGCACTACAGATCCCATGGACATTAAAAGCATAATAAAGGAATATTATGCACAACTCTATGCTCACAAACGTGATAGCTAGATGAAATGGATAAATTCCTTGAAAGACACATTCTGCCAAAACTCACACAGGAAAAAAACAGACACCTGAATAGACCTATATCTATTAAAGAAGTTGAATCAATAATAAACTTGCAAAACAGAAAGCATTAGGCTCAGACGGGCTCGCTGGTGAATTCTACTAAACATTT